GTGGTGAAATCCCTATTAGAACTCCCCAGTTAAGCGTGCTTAGGCTGGAGTAGTTCTGGGATGGGTGACCCACTGGGAAGAACAAATCCGTGTGGGCGTGGCTCAAAGCGGACAATATCGATGACATGTGAAGAGTTAGAGCGTTACAAATGATATCAGAGCCGACTTTCTGGAGTATCAAGTGGAAATAGAGATAGAGGTGCAACAAGTTGTACGTATTACTAGCCTTTTACACTTGACTATTTAATTAAATATATTAAAACTTTGTGTCATATCATATATATTAATGAGCATACTATGTAGGGTGGAGAAGGGTAGCTTGGAGTGTAGCCCAGTCAGTGGAGTATGACTTGAACATAGTATGGGGCTCTCAAGTATAACTAATTTAATAAAAGGCAATTGTAATGTTGTTGTTTGTTGATTATGTAATCTTTGTTTCTTATTGTTATTTGTAACAAATGGTAAGGAAAACTACTATATGCCATCTGAGAATGAACAAGGAATGTCCCAAGATAGGGTATAATTTTTTTGTAAGTAACATGGTACATTTTTGTAAAGGGGAAGATGGTATATTTTTGTAAAGGGGAACAAGGTATATTTTCTATATTGGGTAGATGTCCCTCTATGGTCTTTGTCAAGGGGAGCAAGGTATATTTTCTATATTAGGTAGATGTACCCTTATGGTTTTCGTTAAGGGAAATATGATCATTGTATGCGCATTTACTTTTGAGCATATGAGCATTAACTGTTAATTAACTTTATGAAGATTATGAAGAACTTTTATATATTATAGATGAAGAAGTATCACCATCCACTTTATACATACACACATACAAAAAGGATGTTTCTCAATACCAAATTTCTTAAGTGCTAAAGCTACAAATAGTGTGATAAGACAAAGACACAACATTACAAAGCTACCTAGAAACATTGTTTTTGTCATTTCTATCAATGCCCTTTGTTCATTTCTTAGATCCTGCAAAACATGATGATTGCCTTGAACATTTGCTTGTTGGCCTTGAACACTTGGTTGTTGTTGCTCTTCCACAATTGGTTGTTGTTTCTCTCCACCAACAGGTTTCCACCACTCAAAATAATGGCAAATGTCATCAGGACATGTGAAATATAGCTTTCAAGGTTTTTTTTTTTTTTTTTCTGGGTTTGTGGTATTTAGGGGTGTAAATTTGGCCCCGGCCCGGCCGACCCATGTCTAGCCTCGCAGACTCCCAACAAAATTTGAGTCGGGCCACTAGCCAGAAAATTAGGCCCAAGCCCAAGGGGTATTTGGGCCTTGAGCAGGCCGGTGGGCCGAGCTCGGACTTGGGAGGTCTTGAACGTTTGTTTTGTTTTGTTTTTTATTTTTCTACCTAAATTTTATTATTTTTCACCAAAAAAAAACATTCAGCTTGCTTGTTTTTATTTTTCAGAAAACACTTTTCAGAAAATTCTACTTTTTTATTTTCCGTGTTTTTTTGTTTTTACTGAATATTTTTAATATTTTAAGCAATTTTTTTACTTTTTAGACAAACCTAGCATAAATACACCTAAAAAGTAAAAAAATTGTAAAAAAAATCTTTTAAAAATTCACTAAATACCAAAAATATATAAAAAAAAAAAAACAAGAATTCAGTACATTTTTTGTATTTTTATGTATTTATTAATTTTTTAAAATATTTTTTCACAAATTTTTTACTTTTTAAATACATCTAACTAAGGTGCATCTAAAAAAGTAAAAAAAAATGGTTAAAATTTAAAAAATATTCACTAAAAACAAAAAAATACAAAAACAAAAAAACTCAATTTTTAAAAAACTTAATCCAGAAAACTCAAACCAAACACACTGATTGGTTCTCAAGCGGGCTTGGCCTTGAGTGGACCTTAAGCGGGCTAATGGGCTGGGCCCACGAGCTGGGAGGGAGTTCAAAATGATAGCCCAAATCCAAGGTCTCGGGCTGGGTCGGCCCGGCCCACCTCACACGCCATTTTTACACTTCTAGTGGTATTTCTCGATCTAAAACCCCCAAATCAAAACCCTAAATATAGAGAGAGACCTGCCATGTTGTGATGTTGGGCTGCAAAGGGTTAAAGAGGGGTTGGGGGTAGGCGATGAAAGGTTTGGGTTGGGCTAGTCGTGACGGATGAAGGTAGGGGAAAGGGTCTTCACCGCTGCCAAAGAAGGGGTGTTAAAAGGATGACATTTGTAGAGAGAAAGGAGAGAGAAAAGAAAATGATAAATTCGTAATTTGATAAATAAAAAAAAATCCCATATGATCGGAATTATTTTGCAATGTGTCTTTTGTAGAGAAATTATTTTAGACGCTCCCTTCAGCTTGCAATTTCTTTGTCTATTATTTGCTATTGTTATCTAATTTTTAAAAAATATTTATAAATATTAAGATAATCACATTAAACGAGAATAAATTATAAAAAAACTATCCAATAAAAAATATCCAGGAATTCAACATCAGCAATCACTGCCAACCAGGAAAAAAGAGCCTTTGGCAAGCATAAAAACAAAGTTAACAAAGTACAATGCAGAAGTTGAATAATGAAAGTCTCCACAGCAACCATCAGATACAACATTTAAAAGAGTGTACATTAAATAAGAGTGAATTGGTGCTGCAAAGGTACCAATTAAATTAATACTTCCACATATGATCATAACTCCAAAACCATTTTCTTCGTTGTTGTTGATTGATATATTCATGAACTTGTGAATGCCTCTCTCTCTCTCTCTCTCTCTCCGACTCAGATGTACTAAAAGAATCAAAGGCTGCACTACAGCCCCAATACTAAAATCCAAGAAGTAAGTTGGGGCCCATTAATCTCTCAGTTCTTGCCTGGATGGAATTGCAGCTTACATGAATGATCTACTCTCTCTCTCTCTCTCTCTCTCTCTCTCTATATATATATATATACATATATATATATCTGGATATATATGATACAAGAGAACAAGTATTTGGTACATATAGCACATGAGAAACCAGGACTCTAAAATATCAAGCGATATATACAGAAATAGTGTGACATGGTTATTGTGAATTGGCTTGGCCTGGGTTTAGCTTGTGATTGGCTCGGCATGTGCCATCTGAATGAGAATATCCTTCTTCTGTTTTTTGATAACTCGATATTTGGTACTTTGAATCGATTAATTCGAGAGATTAGTTCCATCATCCACTTGTGGGGATTCCAATTAAATATGGGCTGATCCCAAGATATTGTTTGCACTTATGAAATTTTTAACTTAAAAGACTTTGGAAGGAGCATACCCACCTTGACCACCAAACCAACCCTTTGAGGTTGAGCATATGCTTCTTAAGCAATAACGTTTTGATCTTTGGTCGTTTCATTGATGTAATTTTATTGTACTGTTTGTACATTTTTATTCATCAATAAATTTTATTTTTGAAAAAAACAAATCATTTGTAAAAAAGAATTTTATAGTAACCAAACCAATCATATTGGCTAAGAATCAGTTGTATCCATTGTGAATCGATATGATAGTACATATATAATTTTCAATATCGGAAAATTATTTAATAATCTCGAAATATCATGTGATTATTTTCCAAGCGAATCACCAATTACTTAACCCTCATGTTATTCATTCGTCCCCAACATAAATCGTGGACCCTTATTCCTCTCTACCAATCAAAATCTTAGAACACCACGTGTCCATACTCCGAGAATACTGAATAATCACCCTTCAATCTCATAGGTTAAAAATTCGATATGTGTTGACCAATATTTAAAACTACACTTATGCATCAAATAGAATTTAAATTAAACAATTCAAAATAAGACAATCCAATCCTCAAAACCATAGTTCCTTATCAATAGAATCAGACATAACAAAGTTAAGCATGACCAGCCAAATAAACTACAACACCCACATTGAAATAACAAATCTCCCTCTCTTCTATCCCACTATACCCAAACCCTTTCCCTCAGTCCAAAAAAACAAAAAATCCTAAAATAAAAAAAGAGAGAAAAAGGATTGCTCAGTGCAGAGCCTCTTCTTCTAGGACTTCAACAACTATTATCCATCCCCCAACCCAACCTATTAACAAATGGATTTGTTAACAATATCATTCGTTAACAAAATTTAAAATAGTTGTACATTTTTTACTGTTGAAATTTTTATAAAAAATGTACAACTCTTTCAAATTTATTAACCAATGCATTCATTAACAAAATCCACTAAAAATACAAAGTACATTAGAATATGTCATGCAATATATACATACAAAGAGGAGCTAGATCAACTCACTAGACCATGAAATTGCACCCAAGATCTCTGAGGCAGCTCTTCAACACCTTGCAGTTGATGATGAAACCTGGGTTGGTGAGGCAAAGAGGATCGGATGTTCCTCTCAGAGCAAATGAGTTTCTCAACCTTTGATACTAAAAAAAATAACAGGCTGAATTCTTTGCAGCTGACATGATCGCTCCGATCCAATCTCCTCTCTCCCCGATTCTTCCACGCGAAAATTTCTTGTTTTTCTTGGCAATTCCCTCCCCACTATGACTAAAAATGATTGCTCAGTACACGGGACTTCTGTCACTGCAGAGTCTAAAAAAAGTCAGATATACGCAATCTTATCCTGCATATGAAGAGGTTGCTTCCATGTTTCGAGCTCATGACGCCCCTTGGCCATTAAATTCACTTCAAAGATAAGTAAAACCAACAGAAGAAAGCTAACTAAACTAGCTGATTAAGAAGAGGGAGATCAAGTAAAGAAATGATATCAAGATTGATTTCTTTTGCTAGATCAGAGAAGGGACTGAGGACCCAAGATTTGAAGGATCAAGCCAAGCACCAATATTGCTTGTTGCATTCCAATAAACAGAAGGATCAGACGTGCTGATCTGATCGATCTGATTCTGGCGATGGACATTCCAATCCTCCATTTTCACTTCCTTGAAAACCCTATCAGCCTCACCAGTACCAGGCATTTGAAGATCTTCATAGGGTACTAGTCCCTGAAAACCATTGGAGAAAATTTTCTGATTCTGAAGGCTTGAAGCTAACAAAGACACCATTGTCGGAGAATTTGAAGAAGTGGAAGATCCAAACATGGAATAGCTTGAAAGAAGTGAATTTGAATTAAACCCATTTCGGTAATCGCTGTTGCGACCACCAGAAGAAAACCCTAATCCAAGATCATTCAATTGAGGAGGAGGCTGTTGAAGATCAAACCCAGAAACAGTATCAACATTGGAAACCCTAGAATTGAACCTAGGGTTATTAGGGTATGGAAGGGTGAGCTCAGAAGTGTTGGTGGGTAAGCCATAAAACAAAGGATTAACATGGTTTGAAATTGAGTTGGAAGAAATGTCGATCTGGGTTTGTTGAAGATGATTCGGGTTTGATGATGAAGAAGGTGAATCAGTGGCTGATGACGAGGATGGTTTCTTGACTCTCTTGTTCTTTCTACACCCACCTCCAACTGGGACATTTCTTAGGGTTCCACCTCTGGTCCAATAACGCTTACAAGCCTTGCAAAAATGTCTGGGCTGAGAAAGACTGTAGTTGTTGTAGTAACAGAACTTGGTGTTTGATGAATCACAGCGGGGACACTTTAGGGCTTGTTGCTGTTGTTGTTGTTGTTGGTTTTGATCTTGAGAGGTTGGTTTGTCCATAACCATTCCTGTTGAAGCCATCATGGTCTTCTCATCCATCTGATTCTGAACAAAAGAGATAGAAAAAAAAGAAGAGAGTTAAAGGTAGTGTTTTTCAGGGTAAAAATGACAAAGAAAACATATAGATATTCTGTTCCAAATGCTAGAAAACAAAGATGGGGTCATGTTTTGTCTAATAATTGATGGAGAGAGAGAGAGAGAGAGAGAGAGAGAGAGAGAGAGAGAGAATGAACCTGTGGTTGTGGCCATTGGTTGTTGCTAGTTGAAGAGATGAGTAACATCTTCTCACAGTTACCCAACATTTTTCTTCTCTCAAAGGAATCGTTTGAAACTCAAGAGTAAAGAGACAAAGTGCAGGTGGCGACGTGAGGCTTTGTTGATGATGGAGTTGAAATACTCATGAGCGAGAGACAGAGAGAGAATTAGCAAGAAGATCAAATCTTTGTTTATTTTTAATTTCACGTGATGGGTCTGAGACTCCGTGCTCTAAATTGAAACGAGATCAATTTAATTTAATTGTTTTTTACAGATTCATACCTACTCAGAATTCTAATTCTAAATTTTCCAGTAAAATTAGGTGTTGAATTTTTACGTGTGGTCTAAATTCAATCGGTAAAAGCAGATTTACTGTCGCAAATTTGAGACAATAATTAAATGAATGGTAGAGATTAAAATTGTGTATTATAGGGTTTATGTATAAAATAAATCTGAACTATATATAAATGTTTAATAATTAAATTTTTTTTAAATTTGTAGTATTACTCAAATTCAATTGTTGCATGCTAGTCCTACTTAAGAATAAATCTCAATTACATTCTGATTTGCTGGGTAAAATTTTGGGTATCGGTTAAATTCTTCAGGCATTGTTTAGGTAACTAGCTTTATTATTTTTAGGAGAAATTACTATTCAGTAGTATTTTTAAAAATTATTATAAATTAATAACAAATTTATAATTTTAATTATTAATATATATAAAATTTACAATTGATGTGTATTTTTTTTTTTAAATTTTACAACAAATTGTTATTTTCCCTTACAATTTCCTTTCAAACAGTTCTTAGACAACTATCTAGACAATCTAACAAAATGGGAGAAATTTGCAACGGAACAAGACCTTAAATCTAAAGAAATAACAAAACAATTATTTATTTATTTATATATTTGTATTTTCCAAAATTCAAAACATTGGGGCCATGTTGGATCTTGAATTTATGAAGTAAAAAGGGGAAGAAAAAAAATTAAATGAAAAAGAAATTTTTTTTGTTTTTTGGTTTGGTTTGGTTAGGTTAGAAGATTTAATTGTCAAGAGACATTCATTTTTATTTGAAAGTCCTTTCTCACTAGGGGTGGCGCACGGGTCGGTTGTGGCCACGAAACCTTCAATTCGCCATCGGATGGTCAGATTGGCAGATTAGAAAAAATCAATCCGCATCCGTCTTCCAATTTGAGCGAATTGACAGATAAATGCAAATCGGTTTAGTAATTTAAACTTTTACAAATTTTGAACATAATATAACAACTTGTCAAGATTTTTTTTTTGGATAACAATCCAACTCAACATAACCAAAAGATTATCAACTAATATCAATAATAAATACATCTAAGAAAACCATGTATTATCAAAACTATTTCATTACCTTTTTTTTATTCAAAAATTATTTAATTTGATTTTTTTTAAATGATAAAATTAAGTCTTATATTTTCCACACAAAAATATCAAATATCAACATTTGTCATTTAATAAAAGAATTTACAAATTGAAAACAAATTAAAAACACAACAGAATATCTAAACTCTTTTTCAATCGAAAATACAAACAAAATATCTAAACGAATAGAAAATACAAAATCTTACAAATTACTAGGGATGCTCATGGTTTGACAGTTCGGTTGCGGCCAAAGGAATCTCAAATTTGTCATCCGTCCAAAACTGGAAGGATTGAAAAAAATATCAATTCGCAATTGTCCGCTTGTCATCACGCATCCGTCCAAAATGCGGCAGATCGGTTCGATTCGGTCGATTTGGGCGGATCAGAATATCTGTTGCTCACCCCTATTGGCGACTAACTATTTGGTAGCCAAAAGTTTCACTCTTAGAGAATTGGGGACTAAAAATTTAATAGTCAAAGGTTTCCTTTTATAATTGGCAACTAAAAGTTTAGTAGCTAAATGTTTCACTTTTTTACAATTGGCGACTAAAGTTTTAGTAGCCAAAAGTCAACTTGTGATATTTGTTTAGTCACCAAAAGGTCTTATTTAGTTTTTATAATTTATTCTGTAATATTTTTTGCACCACCTATAACCTGTGCATATACAAAATTATTCATCAATTCATTCATTCGTTCAATTCTCAACCATTCAATAAAAACATTTCTCTACAACCTATAGCATTCAATTTCCAACCATATACAAAACTTAACTATTAACCGTACATATCAAAGAAAATAAGAATTCATAAACATAGTATAATCCAACAAATATATATAATACTATCCAAACCAACAATTAAAATTCAAATTAAATAAAATCTTAATAACAAAACATATCAAGTGTACATGTTTCTGATCTCCAATCTCAGGGTCTCCATCTCCTTATCACATGCTCTTGATGCAGCTTTTGATATGGTAGAATAGAGTCGTGGGCCGATCCCAAATCCAGTCAATTGATCTATTGTTAAATTCTTACATATAGGTCACCACATAGGGAATCAATCCAGTCATTCATCTTCTTCGACTTGGGACACTTCTCATAGAATTTGTAAAAATTAGACAACTCTTCGTCGTTCTCATCTACCTGTTAATTTCTCATCTAACATAATTGTTTTAAGCAAATAATCCAAATGTAAAAAAAGATTAAGAAGGAATCTAGTGACACAAAGAAGAACATAAAGTGAATAAAAAACGTGAACCACCACCCAAAATAACAAATGGATAGCAAGATGAGCAAAATAATGCTAATTAATTGAGTTCTGAAAAATTGGAAAGAAGATGCTTAAATAGTTACTACAAATGAAAAAAGGTAAGCAGCACAAATGCATATAATAGGCTACCCCCAAAAAAATGACCTGTCTTTCAAGAAGTTGATTTTGAGTTCCCTTTGAAGGTACATTAAGTCCAATTTTTCCATTAACATAAAGGTGATATTATAACGGTGAGCTCACATCAGGAGAAGAAACATCCATTGTTCTGTTATTCTCATACTAGTACCTGATGTAGAAGGAAATACCTAGGATTTTAGGATTGATTTTACTATACAAACCAAGTACTGCAATGGTTTAATATAAGGGAGCTTGTTGATTAATAAAATTTAGAATTATTTTAAACTTTCTCCAACTCTTCAAGTATTATTATGTGTAAATCAACTATATATGGTAACTTTAATCATGGTATTTGTATTGAATCAATAGTTTCAAGAGCAACTATACGTGTAAATCAACTATATGTTGAACCTCTAACCTTTTAGTGATATGCATGGACTCATGGCCAACCAGCTAACTTTGTACATATTAAAAAATAAAAAAATAAAAAATGAGGTGTAGGGTGTTCAAAATATTTGACAATAGTGCAAATACCTTCAAAAAATGAGAAGAAACATCCATATATTTCTACAGAAAAAAATAAATAAATAAATAAATCTTTAATCTATAAGTTGCACAATTGAAACATCAAACAAAGGTCCATGTATAAGTTGCTACCAAACGAGAAGTACCCTTAGCAGGGTTTTGAGCATTCTACATCTTCTGATAGGAATGTTGTTTATAATGTGGTTTCCAGGCATGTATTTCCTCCATTTGTTATAGTGTTTATTCAACAATTATGTCTCAAGAGTACGTGCTTTGTTAGGAAGCTAATTTTAGAAGGAAAGTTCAAAGTTTTGTAAGCCATACATGCATCACCAAGGCATTGCGAATGTTGATCCAAAATGCAAGCTTTTCTTCGCGTTTCATCTTCCTTGGGTCAATCTTCTCTAGACTTTTAACCAATGACCTGCAAAGCTTTGAAGATAAACAGATGAGAATAATTGGATGGATAAATAAAATTATTTCCCTTTCAGAGAAAAGCTAATCAACATCTCCCCCTTTCCTTGAATCTGAGGGCTGTTCTTGTGTTCAGCAATTCTGGTCAGGCTAATTGGGACCTGGTTCAGTTTTATTTATTTATTTTCTCTCTTGAAAAAGAAAATAGGAGAACCAACTTGAAGTAGGTCTTATAATTCTACATTTTCTGTCTTGTCTTGCCATAAGTATCAACATTGTTTACTGAGCGGCAAAATGAGGAAACAATCATGTTTAAACTGTGTAGACCCAATTTTGGGCTTCTCAGACAGCCATAGGATGGTAAAATGGACAGTTAGCTATGACAGTTAATTTAAGATGAACAGCTCAATATTATTATAACTGATATAGCACGACTAAATGAGGGAAAATTAGTGAAGCAGCTAATTGAAATAAACGGCGCCTTCAAAACAAAGTTGTTAATCACAGACCGGACAAGTTCACTCTTTTTCATTAGTACCATAAGTATGAGTACTTGCAAAAAAATAATATATATTTATTAAAAGTGAACCCATTGCATCTTAGGTAGAAGAAAACATAAAGCAAACGAACTTTTCTATATTTTCAAAGTTGTGGTGGTACATTGCACCTTGACAATTAACCCAATAATGAGTTTGGGCGGTAAATACGTCTCTGGTAATCCCTAGGCTGGTGTCTGCAAGTAGACTATACGAGTACTACCAAATTATCATTTTTACCGGTATTAACCGAAAGGCTCGACACTTATTCGCGCGGATTTTTCGGTCTTTCACCCCGGACCCACAGACCAACTTATTCAATATCATCTGCACCACCTATCAAGACTTACCAACATATTTACCCCAAAATCATTTCACGAAAACTTATTTCTCAACATTCTATTCTCAATGCAAGTTTTCAAATCAACCTTCAATGTCTAATGTAACAAAATGAAATGATATGCCAATTTCACAAGATGAACACAAATACTTTTATTCCAATTCATCATCCAAGGAATAAATACAATTTCCTCCTCTCAAGTATTCTCAACAATTTAGTCATTTTAAGACTATATCAACATTCTGAATAATCATTTCTAAAATGAACAGCAATTCTCATAATCCACAAAATTAATCATTTATACAAATATAAATAAGAAGTTTTCTAAACATCATTTATTTTGGCACACTAAAACAAATATAACAATATTACCCATGGATTTTCAATCTCTTTTAAAATCCCCAATTTCTAGGTTTTCTCACCAAAACTAACCATTTTCAAATATTTGAGAAGATCTCACCAAAAAACATCTTTCTTTTACCAACATAGTCCAAAACCCTCAATTTCTATTTCAAAGAATCAAATGGTAAACTCACTTTCAAAATCACTCTTTTTCTTGAATTAACAACCTATTTTCCAAAACAAATCAAAGGATGATTTCGAAAATAATATAGA